CTATAGGGGAAATGGCTCTAATGTTGGCCATCGCTAAAAATCTGCTATTTATCAATTTTATCTACTTTGACTAAATGTTTTAGTCAGGGTTGCTTCCACTCACTTGCTATAAAAACATATTTTTCGGAATTATGCTATCATTAGATGATATAATGATATGCTGTACTTGTAAGTAACGAGAAGAGGGTTTAAAGTATGTGTTTGACTCATAAAACCTGTCAATTTTGCTTTCAGAGCGTCACAATAAGCGATCTTATGATTCGTGAGCGTTCACTCAGAGTGAGCACTCACGAGTCGTAAAATTGCTGATTGCGACGCACTGAAAGCAATATTTACAGATTTTATGTGCCAAACACATACTTCACGTCCTTATCTTGTAACTTACAAGTACTAATTATCACTATACCATCTCATGATTTCAAAATTCTGAAAAACATTTTTTTTATAGCAAGTGAGTGGAAGTAACCCTGGTTTTAGTATTACTTCTACGTGAAGTCAACGATTTACATAGTTGAAGATGCTAATTTCAAATAACAGACTGTAGTGGTAATTTTTATACGATAGATGGAGTAGATGAAAGCATAGAGTTGATAGTTCCGTTAGAGTACGGCAGTGTGAAGATTGCATATAGATATTAGAATAGCGAGCTACGACAACTTTTAAGGAAGGTACAAATCGGTTTTTTCATCTCTCTTACCAAACTCCCTTCTTTGGAGAGGGATGGTGAGGGGTGTGTCCCCCCGCCACCACTATCTAGATGAACGCGTTATTCCGACTGAACTAATGGATATTAATGTATGGGCCCAAATTAGGGGTATTTAGGCCGACATTACATCCATTTTCCCTACGTGTGTAAAGGTGCAACGCTGATGGTTTATTACAGTACTCAGAGGCAATCAATTACTACTTCTGCTATAAGCAATTAAGGGCTACGAAATGGTGAGTGACAATCTGGAAGGAGCGATATACCTAGCTCCGGTCCTCACAAGTTTCTACCAGCGGCTGAATAAAAAATGCTCTTCCCAGGAAGCTACACCTAAGATGGCAGGCCCATCACGGTGGATAGGAGACCTTAGGCCAACCACCTGGTGTCTCTGAAACCTTAACAATTGTTACAGAAACCAACAGAGAAAGACATCGAACTGATTTAACTGCAACGACTTTTAGCGCAAAACAACGGACACGAATTGGATCATGGAATGTATTGACGTTAGCCCAGTAGGGTAAACTGGCACAACTCGCCAACGAGGCGCCATGCATGAAGCTAGAAATCCTGGGACTGAGTGAAGTTCGTTAGCCAAACTTTGGAGAACACAAACTGCCGTCGGGACAGGTACTACTATACTCTGGTATTCAGGTGAAAACACTCACCGCCATCGTGGAGTTGGTCTCCTACTTAGCGGCCAGGCAAGTGCTGCGCTCATCAAGTGGCAGCCTGTTAATGAGAGGATGATCGTTGCCAGATTTAGAACACGGGTTCGTAACCTTACCATAATCCAATGTTATGCGCCAACCGATGCTGCCGAGCTACAGGACAAGGAGAATTTTTACAGTCAACTGAATGCCGTCGTGGATAAGGTTCCAAAGGGTGACAGCAAGATCTACACTGGCGACTTAAATGCGACTATGAGCGTGGGACGCCATGATCGACCACATCTGCATCAGCCGAAAATTATTATTATTATTTATCTTTATTAGGGAGGCTTTCAGCCTTGGGCTGGTTCGCCTCCACTCAGCCGAAAATGGAGACGGAGCCTTCTTGATGTCCGGAATAAACGCAGCGCTGACATGGCGTCTGACGATCAACTTCTAATCGGCGAAATCCGCCTACGCATGGCGCGGATCCAGCGACGGGAGGAGAGACTCGGGCGGCGGTTCAAAACACGCCGACTTGAAGATCCAGCGGTAAAAAGGTCTTTTTTTGAAGAACTTGAGACTCGATCTGCGGACGTTCCAGAAGGTGGCAGCGTAGAAGAACAATGGACGGCCATCAATAGTGCCTTTATAGAAACAAGCGAGAACAACATATGTGAGCTGCGTACCCAGAGAAAAGAGTGGATCACAGATGAAACCTGGCGAAGATTGAGGAGCAAAAGCTGCGATAGAGCGGGCGAGAACCAGAGGAGCCAAGAACGAAGCCCGTCAACGGTACTCGGCTCTAGGAAGTCAAGCGCTCTTGCAGACGGGACAAGCGAGCGTGGGTGAACTCCCTGGCCGACGAAGGGGAGAAAGCCGCAAACACTTGCAATATACGCCTCCTCTACGATATCTCACGACGCCTGAGTGGAGCAAGGATGAACCCGAAGATGCCAGTCAAAGACACGACTGGACAATTGCTTACCGACCCCACTGACCAGCTGAAACGCTTGTTTGCGCACTTCGAACAACTTCTTCAAGTTTCGACGGCCAACCAGCCATCAACATCTCGGCATGATCCGCATAGGGTGCGGCGCATCACTCGCGTCAATTCCGAGGCCCCGTCACTGCAGGAAATTGAAGCAGCTATCCGAAGCATGAAATCCAACAAGGCTCCAGGGGTCGATCGCATATCAGCAGAGATGCTCAAAGCTGACCCCATGCTATCCGCACACATGTTGACTGGTTGCAGGGCATCTTAGTGAAGGTCCCAAAGAAGGGGGATCTGACTGTGTTCGACAATTGGCGAGGCATCATGTTACCAACCGGTGGAAACTAACGATTTTAAATTGGCTCACTACATGACTAGCCTATTGGTCCCAAGCAAATCGATTAACGTACCCCATTCTAGTCAAAATTCTAGTACTACACAATGTTTGTTTTGATTTGCTATGAAAGTTTGACAGACAAAATGAGGGGTTAGTTGATTTTCCTATGTTTCGAGGGGTGAATCGATTAGCTTGGTGTGCTATGCATCTTCCCATGCAATTAATTATCCAGTACCAGCAAGAACATTTCCATTTCAATCACAGTCAGATGGCCAGCACAGCCATCGATGCAATTTCGGAAACATACCATTTAACACGCAACTAAGGAACAGCCAGGCATGTGCGTTATGAACGTAGCAATATAATAGCCCAACACATATTTTGCTGACTCAAATTGCATACCGGGATGGTCTCGCACCACAGCCCCAATAAACAGCATAAGCAAAATAAATCAAAACAAAGGCATCGATGGGCGCGCAAGGGCAAAAACCCAAATATCAATATTTGTCAGCATTATGTCCTAGGCGTCTCTTTCGTTCTCTTTTTAACCCATTAGAAGATAGGAAAATTCAATGTAAATTGTTGTAAACCGAAGGCTATAAAAGCCAATGAAATTTGTAGAATAAAACAGTATTTTTCCAACCAGAGACTCAGCTCTCCTCAAAGCGATTTTCGACTGTAACCAGTCGTAAAAGACCGCTAACTGAAGAACTCCCCCCACGGCGAATCTAAGTCCTCGCGACTGAAGATAACCGCCTGAGTCTCCATGCGCACGTGCGAGTAATTTGTGATGAGCGCGCCAAAGTGAGTGCGTAGTGTTGTTCACCGCAATGTTTCTTTAAGGAAGAAGGAACATTGCACATTGGGACCGAAGATAGTACCAGAGCTGAGCCAAAAAATTTCTTCGTTTCTTCGGGACCTACTAGTCTTAGAATTACCTCTATGATGTTACTCTGTATTGTTCTCAAAGTTCTGTGCAAAGTTATCCTGAATCGGATACAGGAGAAGATCTACGCGACTCTCCGACGGCAGCAGGCAGGATTCCGTGCCGGAAGATCTTGTGTGGACCACATTGTCACGCTCTGCATCATCCTGGAGCAGGTCAATGAATTCCAAGAGTCTCTTTATTTGGTATTCATTGACTACGAAAAAGCTTTCGACCGTCTCAATCACGAGAATCTGTGGAGCGCCCTGAGACGCCAGGGAGTCCCGGATAAAATCGTCAACCACATCAAAGCGCAGTATGAGGCTTTCACGTGCAGTTTTCTGCATAACGGAGCCTTGTCCGACCCTGTTCTCGAATTGCTTTGGGATGACCTTGGCCACACACTGCACAAAGTCAAAGTCTTTTAAGTTCCGAGTACGGGGCCACGCTAATATTGACTCTACGTTGGCACAAAGGCAACCGCTAGTACAGCTCCTTAGTGATAAAAGGCATGCAGAGCGATAGATGCTTCAGATCAAGGTTCAAGTAAGTGTAGACCGTCTAACGGATGGAAACCTTAGCTCCCTTGGATCTGGACTGAAACACCGGCTACAAGCACTCCAGATAGACATCGGAGTACAGCCAAAATTCGTAGTTGCTTGTTGCGTCTTGCTTGACGAATGACTTGCCCGAAAGGGGACGAACAAGATGCTTGCTGATTGAAGTGAATGGTAATTTATTCAGTCAATTGTACACCTCACGAGTCCTGGTTGAAATACTGTATAGCTGTAGGTGGAGGTCCTTCTTGCGTCCGTAAGCATTCATATTGTAGCAGTTCCGTGTCTCGGTTCGCGCAATCCCGATGAGTTTTTTTTTTTGTGTGGTTTCATCAAGCAAAACAAATCATACGAGCTATAAAAAATACCGGGTTTTAAAACATGCATTTATTCACAAACATACAACGTCATCCCGATGTCTGGCATTGTCGGCACTGTCAGCCCAGTATGGCACAGCACGGCACACTTGAGGCACACCGAGAAAAAAAAGTTGACGCAAAATAAGTGTGTAGAGTGACCACCTATTGTAAGGTTCCCAATTCTACATAGTTTTCTCTAAAATCCATCAATATTCTCTGAAGCTCAACAAATTCCCCGAATGAATATTATATTTCCTAAATCTCTTTGATAACCTCTCAATATATAAAAAGTTCCTGAAATTTAAAAAATCGAATGAAGTTAAGGAACAAAAGCCCATGGTCATCGAAATTTCCCTGCATTTTAAATCAGTGCATTCAGCAGATGCAATGTGGTAGATGATATTTTTTATAGGTTGATTGGCGAGATTTATAAATCAGCTATGAAAATAAAAGAGCTCCCAACTGTCAGCTTCCTTCAATTGTACACCCGTCTAAGCAGTGTAAAATACGAGTAAGACGCATTTAGTAACGATTGAAACATTTCCAACGTCATCGGGTACACATTTCCGACTTTTATCTGTAATTTAAGCATACGAATGTCGTTACTCAAAATCGATAGTGGAAGCAGCGCAGCAGTAGTTACCGCTAATGGACGCTGTGATCGAGCAATCATCAGGATTATCTTCTTTTTGACCGTCCCTTCAAAATCAAGCCAAGCGCTGTTGTAGTACAGTGAGTCGCCAATTTCCATACTCTGTGAAACGGAAAGAGAAGAGAAGTTGATGGTTAAATCAAAATTGCACCCGGAAACGATTACTGCAATTTACCTGCTCCCGGACCTCGTTCGAGTGCCAGTAGAGGGCGTACATTTGCGACAGAATCATGAAAATGTACGAACCGATCATTACCATCTGTGCCAACTGATTGCTCTGGTTAGATGCATCAATTAGTCCGTGTCCGTGATAGTGAATGTCAACACAAGGCGTGGGGTGAGGCAACGAAAGGAAGGCAGATTGCATGTTGGGAGTAAATCATGGGTTCCATGGTAGTTTTATGCAAGGTGTACTTACTATACTCAAAAGGAAGAGCAGCGCACACAGCATCATTCCAAATGAAAGCAGCTCGAGCAGAAATATGTAGGTCACAAGTTCATTCAAGTCACTTACGTACCTGATAGAAAATAAACTATGTTAATTTTAGTGGAATTTCATCAAAGCAATCGTCCACCAACAGAGAATACTTTTTCAATGCCTACTTTATAATTTTGTTATGGTATTGAAGACATTCTTTTATCCTAGCGAACAGCATTTGCCGGGAAGTATTGTATTCGTGAATCCCCTCAAGGAACCGCTTGAGTGCTGCAATTCGGATCAGTCCAAACAGCGTACAGGTACAATAGAAGCTGGTAAACGGGATGTACATGCAGCAAGCCGGGAAGGTGAGGTAAATTTGCAGCAGGAACACAATTTCATAAATTGGCGACGCATGGACGTCGACCCCGGGTACGTACACTCCGTACGGAAGGCCATTGTCCGGCGAGAACAGCGGATAGGTCACAAAGCAAGCACTGATAAACGCTCCCAACCAGAGATTCGATTTGGACAGTATCCGAGCGCGACGGGTCAACCGGTCCATTAGTGGGCGGATGTCATTTTGGTTCTGTTTTCCGCAAGAAAAGAGGTGAGAATTTAAGAAGATTAAAAAGCAATTCGGGTTACCTCCAGCACTGCGTACTCATCAGCAATACCCTCTAGGAACACTTCGAACTTCCGTCGATTTCCCATTAGGAACGACGTCCGGAGCACTAAATTGAAGTAGAGCACCGTAAAGTACGCGTCGATGATAATCTTGTTCATATCGCCGGTGCCGGACATAATCACATGGAACAGGTTCATAAACTGAAATACGTTCAACACCGTGACCGGGATGCATCCCAGCAGATAGCTGTACCACTTGGGCTTCCGGAGATAAGCCCAAAAGAGCCACACTTTGACGTTCACGTTGATGATTGGACAATTTTCTATCAACATTATTCGTTCCGATGGTTCGAGTAGCACAGCGATTTGAGTTTCAATCGTTTTATAACCAACCAACTTCTTAAATACAATGCCATCAGGTGTGCTTCGGAATGGACAGACCGAGCAGAAATCATAGTAATCGAGTAAATTGATGAGGCCAATCAAGAATGCCATGTAATTATGTTCATGCGACCACGCGCAGCTGCTTTCTTCGTAGGGTTTGACGGCGTCGTATGAAAAAAGTAGTTTTTGTCGGACTAACGAGAGGGTCCTGTATTAGAATTTCACAATAATAAAAAATAGCCGTTGAAAACCTCTTTACGTGAGTTGGGACACGTGGTCGCATGACTATAATAACATTGCTCACTAGATTGGCATACCCCATCAATTTAATAGATTACTATGATTTTTTGGTCGGTTAAACCTTTAAAGAAGTTTGTCGATTGGGAATCAATTAAATTGAAGAGGCTGTGGGTAAAGCCGTAGTGATCGGTCGTGTTTTGTGTTAGCTCCGGGTCTAGTGTGTGATAGGTTGATTGAATTCTTTTTTCGCTGCATTTCGTTCTCGAGTGAGCTATGAGATTGTTTCTTTGGAGCGGTGTTCGAGTTTTATTAGCTTCAAGCCCCGGTGGTCTTTTGGTCTGATGGAATTGGATATGGGCAAACGCTGTGTTCTTCAATTGCTGATGCAATTGTGCTTTATGTGCTGCTCTCACATTCCCTTTTGATTCCAGATGTGTCCTTGATCGTCTTACCTTAAAAGTCTTGGAGGGTATGTCCATCGGTGCGGGTTACCATCCCTTTCGTTTACCCGCTGTTTTTGCGTCGTTTAACTAGTCGTTGTATGGGAGTAGTGCGGGATTCGGGGAGGCGACGGGTTCGCTTTGCCGAATCTGTTCTTGATGACATTGGTTTGTCTTAGGCAGATTGTATAAATTTAGTGTATATTGGACACGTTTCAGGTTGTTTTCTGCCATTTCTGAATCAAGTGAGTGCAAAGATGGCGCAGTATGGGTTCAAATGTGTGGGTCCGCACCGTTATACATCCACCATGGTGAGTTTGTTCCATGTTAAAATCATTCTTATATACTTTTCATCAATGTTGTTGATTTCCGTTTGCTCCCAGCGAAATGGCCTCGATCCCGCGTTATTTATTCTTCCATGTGTTTGAGTCCGCACCACTAGACTTATAATAGAAAATTGAAAAATACTCAAATCAATTATCATAAATCATGGCTTTGCAGATCATTCTCGCATCTTACTTTAAGACCAAACCAAAATAATAATAAACTTCGCACTAAAGTAGAACTTAATGATGGAATAAGCAGGCTTGATGGAGCCTCGCTTGCGAGTTTGAGTAGTATTTTTCTGCGGAGTAGAATGCCTACTGCCAAATCATTCCAGTGAGCTTCAGAGCTTGTGAGCGAAGGGGGATATTTAAAATGAAAGTGAGGTTTGCTGCCATTCATGTTCATGATTTCTATCACACGCTCTTACTCTCACTCTGGGTGAACTCTGAGCTTCTTGCGTCGAACAAAAAAGTCATCCGGAGTCTCGAAAAGCTCACCTCACGTCAAATCATCCTCTCGCTGAAGTTCACTCTCCCTCTCTCTCGAGGAGTTTTTGTTTACTTCTTCCATATTCCTGCCGCCACTCACTCGAGGCGAGGGCTGGCTAAATTTGCAGGACAAGAGTGTTTTAAAACCTCCAGTTAGTTTGAGGAGTTTCAGCAAGCCTGGGAATAAGTGCTTTTTCGTAGCTTTAAAAGATCGTCAGCCACAGTGGCTTGTTTTGGTGTAAGGTGCACCGCCGTCGGGTTTGAACGATTATAGCATTAACTCCACCATAAGTGGTGTGTTCTGATACGAAGGGCTCGGCTGCCAGCCAACCGTTTTTGCTTACTGAGCAGAAAATCGTGTGATCAAACCCAGGCCTCATAATATAAAAGAGTGTCATAGTCACATTGCTTGCTCATCATGTTTTATGAAAATTATCGTCGTTTTCGTCGGTGCCGGTTTTAAACAACTCGATCATAAGTGGTGTGAAGGGCTCGGTCGCCTTATAGTGACCGTTTTTGCTTACTGAGTAGAACATTATGATGGAGTAATGAAATTGGGTTGTTAGTGGAATGCTTAAATAAAACAGCAAAAAATGCTATTTTTCATTTAATTCCACTTACTTTATTTTGGTATCCATGACAGATATGTATTTCGACTACAATGTATGTGTAATCAAATGGAAGATAACCTTTTAAGTTATTTTATTTAGAACAACTTGAGTTTAATCTCATGCCCCTCCACATTAAAAATTACAAAGACGCAAAAGTAATCAACATGAAAACTGAATCGAAAAACTAAAATATCATTAACTTCATTGATCCGTTGCCTTCGGATGCTGGGTGATGGTTATCTCAGTTTTGTCCGCAAGCCAGCAAGATACTTATTGGTTCGCATCTAAGAAAGAATTTAGCTTTAATTACTGCCAATTTCCGGAAAATCAATCACAGACTGTTTGGAAGAAACATGAAACACGGACAATATTTTGTTTTTGGCATAAGTCAAAGCCTAAGTAAAAATGGCGCTCTTTGCGATTTTTCATCCAAAATTGACTACAAATTAAGTACTTCATTTTGGATACTTCCAAAGCACGGAAAACAAAACAACTTAAAATCGAGTATTAAAGTAATAGTGACTGATTTGGCTATACTTCAAGATTATGTTGAAAGTACTCATCAATCAGAACATAAATGTCCCTAATAATCAAATACCATAAACGAACTGTTATTGCGAAATCTCCCTGAACTGACGCGATTATAAAGAGTCAGTCATGTGATTGCTCTATTCGCATGCTCTAATCTTCTTGAATTTGTAACCTTCATTCTTAACGCAATGGACAATGGCAAGCACGTGGAAGCTCTTTATACTGACTGCAGTAAAGCATTTGACCGAATCGACATACCATTATTACTCTTTAAGTTGCAAAAAATAGGAATGGAATCTAGACTTCTGAATTGGCTCCAATCATACTTCACGCAACGCAAACAAATAGTTCGTTTTCAGAATAAACTTTCAGAACCTATTTCGGTCACCTCCGGCTCCAGGGCTCTCATTTAGGCCCAATTCTTTTTATTTTGTACGTAAACGACATTTCATACATACTTCTTATATATGCAGACGACATGAAGCTCTTCATGGAAATAAGTAATTCTAGCGACACAGAAGAATTCCAGAATGAAATCAACTTATTCAACACTTGGTGTAATAAAAGTCTACTCAAACTCAATGTAAAAAAAATACAACGCAATTGTATTTAGCAAAAAAGTAGAAACACCTCTTTTTGAAATATTTTTAGGCAATCAAAAAGATGAAAAATTTTAAATTGTAAGGGACCTAGGTGTGATCCTAGACACCAAACTCACTTTTGTAGAACATTATAATACAATCATAACGAAAGTAAATAGTATGTTGGGCTTCATTAAGAGGTTCAGCTATAATTTTCAAGACCCATACACTATCAAATTATTATATATTACATACGTAAGACCTATTCTGGAATACTGTAACCTGGTATGGTATCCGTACATTGCCATACACGAGGAATGTATAGAATCCGTCCAATGCTTTTCTTCATCAATGACATTATTTCACATCGCATAGAATCATCAGAAATACTTTCACAATTAAACTTCTACACACCCTGTGGGCATCTAAGAACACGAAAATTATTCTCAGAAAAATCACACAGAACAAATTACGCAAAAAATGGCCCCTTCAATCGAATGATGCTACAGTATAATCTACACTGTGAAGTCATTAGCATCACTATTACAAAAGAAGAAATTAAAGCCCAACTAAAACATTATAGAAGTAATGCATAGTATGTAAGTAAAACATTGTAACCATTGTATGTAGTCTACTTTGCTTGACGAAAGAAATAAAGAAATTAAGAATTTTCCAAAATAAATTAATGAAAGATTGTCTTTAATCAGAGACTACGTCGAGACCCACTCACGAAGGGTTGCCAAGCAAAATAAGAAAGTAAAATGAATGCCATGAAAGAAATCATGTTTTCTATTTTAAGCACATCAACGAAATTTCTTACATACTAGCCTACCTTGCCTCACTGCTACTACACCTGATGTATCTGGCCGAATATCAAACAGCCGACGTTGGTGCTGCTGCTGTAGATCTGCTGGGGCCCCGCAATCCTCACCGCTGCGACGATAATCTTCTTCCGCAGGCAATTTCAGAACGCGTAATACTCGACCGCGCTAGCTTCGATCGCGCAATTCTTTGACCACGCCGGGGTTCGATCGCGCAGTTCTTCGACCGCGCTGGACAACACCTTCTATCTACCGTACTCGCTTTCCAATAGGAAATTACCACCACTACGCACTTTCATTCGCCGCACGCTACCGCTCACTTGTCCTCCACATCCAGTCGTACGTTCGATCACTTAGTGGACCTGTCCGTCGGTTACTGGAATCGTCATCCGTCCGAAGGAGATCATGTACCGATCTACTTCCTTCCGGCTTCGTCCCGATGGGGTGTGTTTTCGTCTCGCCTGGCGTGGAAACCGAACGCAATTTTGCGTTACGAAGAAAAGGTCCTATTGGGAATCATTTCGTTAGGATTCCAACATGCAATAGTGAGATAAAAGAAACGGTTATCTCTTCTGAGAGCCTTTTCTGATTCCGGTTGGAAACGACTGTGTTCGTTTGGCTAATTGACGGTGTTCGTTTGGTTAATTTGGGAGCAGGTGGTGTTTGGTGCTACCGTCCATTAATCGATATCGCTCGTGTGTTCCCTGCTTGTTGCTGCTTCCTTGTTTGGGTGATGCGAGATCCGGGGTTTGTTTGGGTGGACGGCCGTGTGATCTGATTACGAGCTATGGAATCGAAATCGACGTAACTTCTTCAGTGGTTTGCTGTATGGTGGTGAAATTACGCGTGAGATATGATCACTACACTGCAATGACGGATTTTAGGTTACCTGCAGTAATCGCGTGGAACA